GCTAACTAGTTATGTGTTATCTTAAATAGTATAGCTACAGTTACTGACCGAGGTTTTGCATTGGAGTTTCTTTTCGCTAATGCCTCCGTGGCAGTGCTTCTTTCTCGGCTTGGTGAAGAATGGGTATTGTGGGCTACAGAGGAATTTGGATTTATCACACCAGGCGATTCTGTTTCAACTGGAAGTAGTATGATGCCTCAGAAAAAGAATCCGGATCCAATGGAACTTGTTCGTGGGAAGTGCGCCAGAGTCATTGGAGATATGGTTATTCTTCTCACGTTGTGCAGAGGACTTCCTCATGTTGCTTTTCTTGCTTTGCATGTTTTCTTTGCTTGTGTATAGTTTTTGCATTAATTTGTTTTCTTTCTGGAATTAGGAAGACAAAGAACCAGTATTTGACAGCCTCAAAAGTATTTTGGGGATGCTTGAGGTAACAGCTGAATTCGCGCGGAACATTACTTTCAATAAGGAAAGAACGCAAAAGGCTTTATCTGCTGGTCATCTTAATGCAACCACGCTTGTTGATTATCTTATTAAGAAGGTAAGTCACATGTATTGATTAGCCATCTCTCAATAATTATTCTGTTTGTAATAAAAATTATGACATCGAAAACATGACAGCCCAGCAGGGAAAAAATAACTTAAAAGCTACATGCCACCCGCCTGACAAAATGGGCCTAATCAGTCCGATCAGGGCTAGAAAAGTTATTTACTTTGGCGGGTTTGGAATCAGTCCGCCTGTCAACCACCACCATATTAAGGCGGGTTAAAGTAAATCAACCCACAGGTTGGGAAGGGAAGGGTTAACTTATAGGTCATTTTTTTAGATATCAAAAACTATTTTATATGTCATGTCAAACTTTTGTGATATTAAAATTTTTATTTCAGCACTTGTCTATAAAAAATAAAGAAGAAAACACTTGTTTTATGACAAAGATTATTTATATATGGAAGCTAAAATGAGTTCATAGAAACTATAAAATTGCATATTAACATATATTTACATTTAAGATTGAAAAAAATAGATGAGAGTATGAAATGGAATCAAATTACATTATAAAACTCATTAAATAAGATTTATTTCGAAGCTTTTATTTTTTAAATGGGTTGACCCACCAATCTTCCATTAAACAGGGCGAGTTAATATTTTCAACCCATTTTTTATGGGTCGATCCACTTTGCCACCTAGTAATAGTTATCCTCATTCAATCAAGTGTAACTTGCATCATTCAAACACCTTCTGTCTTATTGACCCATCTACAATGTTAGAGAATAATATAAATTATTAAAAAGATTCTTATTTAACAATTTAAATTTTTGGATTAAATTGATTATTTATATGGTATCAGAGTTTTAGTGACCATGAGGTCACAAGTGAGTTTGATCCTTATTACCCCTCACTTTTATATGAAATTAAATAAACAAAAGGTAAACCAAAATTAGACATGTGCAATATTCACATGTCTTATATAAACCATTAAAAAATATTTCGTCCAATTGTTTAAACTTTTGGATTGAATTTATTCTTTAAAGTCAATACACATTTTTTTTTTTTTTTTGATAACAATACACATTTTTTTTAATGGGGTGGTCAGTGTCGCAACACTCATTTTTATTTTTTTGTTTAATTTAAACTGATAAGGGTATAGACCAGGAACAGTGACCAAAATGCTACTGTTCACCAACTTTTTTACCTAAATATCACGCAAATAGTGTTATTTCCCAATCTGCCACGGGGGCACGTTCGCTACCCGGTGTAGCGAACTCGGTTTGCTGACGTGTCACGTTTCTAGTAGACACCAACTTGATTTTAACCAAGTTCGCCTACATGGCAGGCGACCTTCATTTTTTTTTTATTATTATTATTTTTTTAAATTTGATACTTGTTATCCATTAAAAATGTGACACGTCAGCAAACCGAGTTCGCTACAGGGTAGCGAACTTGCCCCGCGGCATATTGAGAAATAACACTGTTCGCGTGGCATTTAGGTAAAAAAATTGGTAAACAATGACGTTTTGGTCATTGTTCCTATAGACCAATCAAATTATATCACATGGCACCACATTGCACCATGTGGCGTAATTGCTTTGTCCATAACCTTTTAAAAGTAACCAATCAATAAAATATTTTTTCTCTTTACTGTGAAATATTTATTTTTCTATACTCACTCACTTCAAGTATTAAATATAATCGATCAATATTGATTTTATATGTATTTGAACATTATATGAATTTATCAATTAATCGACAAAATTTCCTTTAAAGTTTTCAATAGTGTTTCATCAATTATAATCAACTAATGGATTTACACGTTACATAAAGGATATGAAAATTAGTAAAAATCATATATAATTAATTTTAATTTGAGAATAATTATTATAGTAATTAATATTATCAATAATACATTAATTAAAATTTTAATTATTTAATATTTGAAGCGAGTGAACAGACATAAAAGCCTTGTATATCATAATATTAATTTCTGGACTCATTACCCTTTTCTCCTTTCGTACGTAGATCTGCAAATTTACCACAGATTCTTATCCTTTTTCTTTCACATTTCAGGGAGTGCCCTTTAGGACGTCTCATGTTATCGCTGGAAAATCTGTTGCTTTATGTATATTGAAGGAATGTGAATCATGGTAGTTAAAATCTTGATTTAAATCTACGCTTTTACGATTTTTTTTAATCAAAACGATTTTATCAAAATTTCAAACGCTTTTATGTTTTTACGATTTGTATACGTTAAAATTTTACGTTTTATGATTTTTTTTCTTTCTTCCGATTTTAAGTAAAATTCTAATTTTAACTACATGCTGCCAACTGCTGGACCCGAGTCTTGATGAGCTGAGAAGTATAAATCCAGTCTTTGAGGAGGATGTGTATGAATATCTCGGAGCAGAAAATGCGATCCTGAAATTCAGCTCTTATGGTTCCACTGGGTCGGCATGCGTTGCCAGCCAACTTGATTATTGGATTAAAAAACTTGAAATGAAGTGAAGAGTGCTATTAGAACATGTATTTAGTACTGCTTTAATATTTCAAAGTTGTTTCCAGTGTTTTTTAGTAGTTGGTTTTTCTCTTCTTCTTTTTTATGTTTGATGGCATGCGTTGATTTTTGGCCCATGACTTGGTAGTAAAAATTTCAACATGCAGTATGAATTTCTTTGGCCGCCAGACGGGTAGAGTTGAGATGTGTTGCTTGAGAAAAAACAGTTAAATTATTTATGATATGATCAGCATTAATTGTTATTCTAATCAGCATATTTTTGTTAATATACGCTCAATATGTATGTACCCCCAAATATATTTTAAATTAGAGCTGTGTTTAGATTATATTCATTAATTATATTCTATAAGCTATAAATAAAAACATGAAATTACAGGATAAACAAAAAGCGTAAGTTTATGTCTAAATTTGAAATGGGACAAAGCTTGGTCTTTGTTGCAGTTTAATATTAAAATGGAAAATTGACAATGTAAGGTGAAGTTTGCTTCTGTTTAAGCAATCTTGAATGCCAACGTTTAATAAAAACTAGTTTTATATCCCGTACTTTGCTTTTGAAATAAGACACATGCATATTTGTTAAGTTATTATTAATTATAATAAGATTGTTAGTGTGTGTGTGTGTGTGTGTCGGTGTGTACTTAAATTCTTTAAAATCTTAATATATTGTGATTAGCAAACTAATTAGTTCGAATTTCCATGATAAAAGTTAACAAAAAAAATAAATTATATCCTTGAATTAATCCGTGAAGATTCAACTTTAAAATCAATTTTTTAGCAATTCCAATTGGATTCAGTTAAATATGAATACTTATAAATTGACAAAATGTATACTAGTAGGCTTAATATGAAGATAATTACAATAAGAACAGTATTGGAATTAAAATGGTTTAAAAATCTTGAGCATTATAATTTCCTTCAAACTTTTTATTTACAAATTCTTACAAACTATATTATGTTTGACCGGTCATACTTCAATTAAGAGTGTATAACCGATCAGACTTAGTGTAATTTATAAAATAAAAAATTTGTAAACAGATCATTCCCATAATTTACATAAGAAAACTATGAAAAATAACTGCACTAATCAACATAAGAAATTTTATGAAATAGAAAAACCTATTATACGTTCAAATATCATTTAATCGTAAGTTTAAAATCTAAGAGTATTTAATTATTGATGAGGTTACTTCAAAAGAGCAAAAATCTGAAGGGAAAAACTAATAAATGAGTGACATGTGACATTAACTTTACTTATACAAACTGTTAATAAAATTTTAAATTACAAGTAGGGTATGATATTGGATTTAAATTGAATTGTTCATAAAAAATAATACAAGCTAGATCACAATTTAGTAAAATAAAAAACATTAAAAATTATATATAAATAAAAAAGGAAATGTTATATTTATAAAATTTTTGTTTATAAATTTTTACAAACTACATCATATGTGATCAATTATATTTTAATCAAAAGTATATGACCGATTAGACTTAATGTAATTTGAAAAAAAAAATTGTAAACGAATTCTTCCCCAAAGTTATATTTACAAACTTTTTATTTAAAAACTCTTATAAATTATACTATGTTATCTCCATAGAACACTGGGTTATATTACGTTCTATCAAAAACACTAGGTTACACTATGTTCTATCAACATCACTTAATTTGCAAAAATTTGTAAAAAAAATTTATGAACGAATCATTTCTCATGAAACAAATCATATTTAAATTCTCTTGCGTTCGTTATTAACATGAAATCATGATATCACATAAATTGAAAGCAAAGAAATTATAGTAAGACTTAATTCATTTGCATCTTTCTCTATGAAATTATCAACTTAATAAGGTGAGGGATCCAAATCAACATCGTAACCGTACTCCACAATTCCGCATTGATTCAGTTATCAACACTCAGGAATAACCAGAGAAATACTTGCAGCTTTTCATATTATCCCCTGAAAAGAAAATTTCGCATGGGAGATGACGAGTCAAACAAAACAGTTCTCTTTCCCGACGGCAGATTTGGCCTGTCGAGTTGGATTTCTTAATTGACGAAAGCCAGCTGCGTCACTGATGGCCGTCGCCAATTCATTTGGCTGACCAGAATTACTATCTGTAGCTGCTTTCTTCGCCTTGTCCAACTTCATTGCATTATTTTCCTGAGTTTCAATTTTGTATGCTTCGGTGCTGCTGTTATTTTCTGGCGAATCCTTGGTAACGATATGAATTACTGGCTTCCGCGCTTTCTTTTTCTTGCCCTGCCTTTGAGCATCTAATTGGCCCTGCAATCGAATTGTGCGGTGGATTAGTAAGCAAGTTGAAGAACTGTAGCAGATACCAAGTATAAGTAGTACATCCTGGGGTTAAAACAAAGTAAGAAAATCTCATCCAGTTCATTATAATCGGTGCCAAAAGCAATAAAGGGTTTTGGTGACTGAGATCAGGGCTTCGGGATGGAGAATACCAGTGAGTTCTGAATGTCACGTAATGGCTTCTTTATGAGCCCGGGATTGTCACTGGAACTAGCAGGTTTCTGAACAAGTGCACTCTGGAGTAGTTTGGCACATTCAGAAGCGATAATATTTCCATTTTTGTCAACAGCTGAAGCATTCATAATACCTTCTGTATTCTCTGATTTTGGTGGATCATTTTCTGTCTCTCCGCTCAGTTCCCTGTTTGTGCACTTAGAACGTGTGCAGCCGCATGATGCTCCGCAGCCCGCACCACTGGATCGGCATCTGCATTTTGTAGTCTTGCACAAGGATTTCTTACTGCATGAGCAGCAAAGCCCTTCAGCTGTACTCTCCCTCTTAACATTATTTTCACTTGAACTGTTCATTTTGGGGGTGTCCATCTTTATCTTGTCATTACTCTCATCAGGGAGAAGAGGCTGACCCAGGTCCTGCCAATTAGAAGATGCCACAGTTTACGAAATTAGCAGCGAAGTTTTGAATAATCCTTTTTTTTTTTTAAAAAAAATATCATATTTCTCTAATTTGATGTCGATGGCCCAAACCTGCTTCTTATCCTTGGACTCAGGCTTCTCCTTCCGCAATTGTAATTCTCTAAGTAGACAACTAAGGCTGTTTACTTGTTCCTTTAAATCTTGGATATCAGAATCCTTATCCGGGCTATCACAGTCGTCCTCCTGTAACGGAAATCTTCAAGTAACAAAGAAGAAAGTTGAAACACAATATTAAATTAGTGAGTGGACTCTATGGTACTGCTAGCTGTAGAATTCAAGAATTCAACATTGCTAAAGGAAAACGAGTAACAGTTTTCACCTTAATTTTTCCTGCCTATGCATCTCAATTTCCTCTTTCAGCTGTGCAATCTCTTCAGCCATCCTGAACATTCCAAATTGTTAGAATAGGGGCTTTTACATTAAAATATGCGTTTCACAAAATCATGCTGACGAAAATGTTCATGCTAGCAAGAGATTATATTGTATGACGTATCAAATTATATTTTGAATGCTCCAAAGTACAAGATTATTTAGTTCGGTTACGGTCCATGCATATACAGATAAAATACTCAGTATATACTACCATACTCGAAAACTGAGACATGAAAAAGATTGTTTCACAAACCATGTAATCAGAAAAATTCGAACTATCGATGCACAATTGAATCAATGTCAAAGCTTTTCATTCACGGCAAGCTATTGTTTGGTTCATGATGAATGCCAGGTTAACATTTTCTTTCCTGGTAATTGTGGGACCCCCCCCAAAAAAAAACCTATTATTATCCCGACGTCAATCAACTTTAATTTCAAATTTTCAATTGCATAAAAATCAAATGGGAAAGCTACTTATATCCCTATAACTAAAGGAATATGAAGCCACGTAATTAAATTTAAGATAAACCAAATGGCACCTCCTATCTTGTTGCTGAGAGTACATAATACTCAATGTTGTTGACATTTCAAAGTTCAAACCAGATATACATTAACATCAGTTCAAAAGATCAAATTTAAAGTTAGCAAAATCTGATACATTTATGCTAGCTTTCAAACAGTGAAAAGTCATGGGTTCAAATCCTGAAATTGGTTTATTTGTAAATATATAAGGGTAATAATGTATACAAGGAATACTTTTGCCCCACCTTTGTTTATTCGGGTTTAATGGAGAATGGTTTCAGCTTTTGACAGTTTGTAATGCTAACAGTTATTCTGAAAGTAAATATTTCTGCTCTAACATGGACTAGAGCAAGAGATACATTTCCACATTAGAAGAATCCTACCAACAAATACATACTATTAGCTTTCAAACAGTATTTAGTAATAAAAATACGTTTCATCGTTACTAAATCAAGAGATATATTACAAGTGAGGAAAGTCAATAAAAATATGAAATGAATAACAGAGTAAAGCAGGGCATAAGTATGAGCAAAGGAAGAGAAGATAGAGGTGACATCAAACTTACTTTTCCATTTCGGATTCGTATTGAGAGCATAACTTGTGTAACTGAGTTGTGACTCCAAGTTCATGCTCAGCATCCTGCACCAGCCATTTTTTAGTAATGTTTTTAATAAGTTAGGCCAACATATAAATCCGACTAGTGCTACAAAACAGTAATCAAACCCATTCAAAATACATTTTCAACGGAAGCAACCTGTGTCTGATTGATCAAGTCTACAAACGACAAAACATAACATTCTCCACTAAAGAATAAACAGTGAAAATTTAGAGCATAACATCTTACTACAAAAAGGACAAAGAGGATGTCCAATATATCATATTGGATACAATCTCCAAAACGGACCATGAAACTATGAGCACAATAGTGAGGAAATAAGTAGGATAAGGTTAAAAATATCATTATTCGGCACAACTTATGAGCCATATAGCACTCAGTCAAATACAGGAATCCTAGAAATAGACCCGCGAGCGAGTGTCAGGAACACTAATAAAGTACTTGTCAAATTTAAATAACACCAAATTATAAAATGTTCAATCTACAAGCAATCAGCAATTTCAATTGATTTAAAATTACCTGAATTATTTGACCATTTCTATTTCTAGCACCTACATGAGAAACAGCACAAAAGAAAGGTAATAAATGTAGAGGGGCCAACATAAATCAAATAAATAAAGATTCAAACAAAACAGGTATTCAAGTCTTCTAACCAGCTGATCTATTTGATATAACTTTTCGAACTGCTATCAGGTCCCCTAGACGTTTATTAGCAGTAGAAGCTTCTTCTGTCTTCCGCTGCAATACCTGATATAAGGAAATTGAGAGAAAAGTGGCAACTGTAAGAAAAATAACAGGCAGATAGCCACAACAAAAAGAGATAAAAGAATATAAAGGTCCTTGAAGAAGATACAATGAACCAACCCTTTTAAGCCTCTCATTTGAAGCCAGCAAACTGTGGGTGTTGAATTCATTCCTCCTGCCTTCTTTCTTAAGCTGATGATGCAGGAACAAATATTCCATAAGATAATATATAAATAATCAGTCCACTAAAAAAATTATTAATTAAATCATCAGTCATCCGGATCTTAGACGTTAGAGAATATAACTGAATAGATACCTGCTGAACTTCTTTTTCCAGCAAGGCCTTGCATAATCTGAATTGCACTGACTGTAATTTGATCTTACATTGCAGTTGAACCTATATGTAAACACAAAGTTTGATGCTCAAAGCAAAAGAGGATGAATAAGAACTAAAGCAGCACTGAAAAAAGAGTCCATCCACATAGAAAATGTCACCTTCTGAGCCTTTAAAGTCTGAATCTCAAATTGCAACTGCTTAGTTGATTCATCGACCCTCTTCCTATGGGTTGAAAATTGGGATTGAGAACCAAGTTTTTTCTTCAATTCTGTAACCTGCAACAGCACGGCATCGAAACTAATCATAGTAACATGGTCCCACTACTAAACACATTTTCACTCTGCTTGTGCAAATTAATGTTTACCTGTTCTTCAAGTAAGTTCAGCTTCGGAAGATAATCTTTTTTAAGCTTTTCAACTCCATTGTTAGAAGCAGAAGAATCACTCCCCTGTTGCTGCCTTAGTTCTTCAATCTCCATCTGACAAATTACACAGTACCCGAAGTAAGGAATAACTTCTCCTAAGATTTTGGTTCTCCAAGGAACAACAGTCTGAACTCTGAAGTAATAAACTAATGTAATAACTTCTTTCTATAAACTTTCAGAAATTGTCTCACATTGACTGACCCAATTGATAGAAATATCAGACGCATTGCGTGGGTCTTTATACTCAATAATATACAGTTTTACCTTCATTTTTGCGAAACTGATTAAAATCAAACATGTGACCTCCAAATCACATAGCGACAACACCAACCATTATGCTTCGATTACACATCATTTAACAGGGGCGGTCAAACTTGTTCAACAGAAAAAATCTTACATCATATACTTAATATGGTATATCGTAAGCCTAAACAAAAAAACAAAAAACAAAAAGTGGAAAAATATAATCAATAAAAATAAGAAAATAAATAGAATGAAAATAGAACATTTTGAATAATCATTTTTATATTATATTCTAGAAATATATTCTATAAAACTATTAATATTAATAGAAGAATATTCTTAATATTTGGTGCTATAAAACTCCAGTTAGGCAAAGGAAGGGTCAGGTCGATTAACAGACTCAATCGGTACAGAAATTGTTAAAATTCAGCAGAACAATCACTTCCTAAAGTTTGGAATATTTTGAAATTAGCACTTCCGTATCGTAAATGCTCTCCCTTCTCAAAACCGTCGATTAAGGATTCCGTCTCAAAATTCAAAACCCTTGCGGTACCAAATCTATGAAGCCTTTCCTGATCCACTTTCAAGCACATTATCAAGCCAAATACAAACACTGATGTTAAGCTTTGTTAGTAAAACATCATTGCAGCACCGGAAATGAAAATCCGAGAAATCAGATCCGATAAGTAATAATTTAATTGATGAAGAAATTCAAAACACTGACCTTATATGCTTTATTTTCTTGCTCCAGCTCGCGAATCCTCTGCTTATACAGTTCATTTTTGTTTGCATCCGAAGCTGAGGCATCGATCGGACTCGATTGTTTAGATCGGCGATTCGTCTTCTTCATGACTGGCTGTGTGTAAATGGAAAAGGGTAATAATAGACAAAAATAAAATTGAAATTCAAAGACAAAAACGAAAGAGACACCAATGACGAACGGACAAATCCAACCAAGAAGGGCTATATAACAATACTGCGCTATCTCGGCCTACGAGACAACCAATCGTGAGGTGCCACGTATGCCGATCTGTGGAGGGAAAGCTTTTTGATTCAAATTTTCTTCGTCTGGAATATATACTATTTGTATTTGCCGTATATCTTTTGTTTCTCTAAAAACAAATATCTTGTTTTAGTATAACATTTATTTAAAAAAAAATCCAGAAAAACATATACAAGTTTTTAAAATTATTATAAATTATATTTTTACATATATTTTCATGGGTTATGTTTATCTCATTTTACATGAGATAAACATCTCTCCTACACACACAAAAAGGGTTGGGTCCCACCACTTTTTTTTTCTCTCTCCTCTTACATGTGGGTCCCACTTATACTTTTATTTCTACAACATGAGGTAATTCTTTTCCTACAACATAAGAAAAATATATCCCTATTTTCATAGGATTTTGAATTCAAAATAAATATTCTTGTTATTATATAATGGGTTCGCTTTTTCTGCAGTAAGCTCAATACGACATCGTTTTGGGAGGAAAATCATAGTGTTTTTAAAATTTTAATTTATTTCAGGGTTATAATGGTCTTTATATTTATATTTTTTTAAGATTTCAATACCAAAACAACGTCGTTTTAGAAATAAATGCAGATAACTTATCTGCAGTAACTGTAGAAATATTTTCCCCTTATATAATTTAATAAAATTAGTGCAGTACCCAGGGAGGATAAAAATATCTAAATTTTTGTCGGCGTCTGTCGCACGTACGTCTCGCTAAAAGAAAGAAACGTAGTTATACTCAATCAATAATAAGATATCTTAATATACAACTATGTATACAACAGCAACAGTGATGATATGCATTTTGTTTTACCAAATAGAAATGATCCAAACATGAGCCAAATTTCTTGCACTCAACACTATCCAGGACCATTAATAGCACCCTACAAAGACAAAAAAAAAAACATGAAAAAAAACAAATATCCTGCAAAAAAAACAACTGTGAATACAATATAAAATGAACTTATCCTCTATATTAGTCTTCAATTCTTTTCATTGATTCAACAATACTACAAAATAAATCGAATGAAAACACGTGAATAAAAAAATTCAATTTTCAGCTTAACATGAAGGAAATAATTACAATTAAAAAAATGAAAATCAAAAAACATATCAACACCCTTGTATGATAATAAAAAAATTGTAGACAACGTTAATGGTGCTATTTGTAACATTCTCATCATCATCAAGTATTAAAATTTTCAATCCCTATTTGCTTTTTACCCTTGATAGTGCAACATATAATTGCCCATAAGTGAAGACAGGCTTAGGAAGATAAACGCCAACATGAGAAAGTGTCTGTCCTTGAGATTTATTGATAGTCATTGCGAAAAAATAAAATAAAAAAATATTGTTGTTATTATATAATTTAATAAAATGCAAAAAAATCTTTATGCTCATACTGTGGTATCTTTTTTAATTTAATATGCATCTCACAATTATTATATTTTAACTGATAAAAAAACAAGCATCTTAACATCGAAATCTTATATGCTTTTTTTTTATATGAATTCCATGACATTTAGAAGTAATTTTGAGTCCAATTAATACTTGAACCTAGTAAAGCTGATTTGCTTTCATAATTTAGTTTTAATACTACTAAATAATCAATAAATAATAGTAGAGGAAAATAATCATATTGTTTAGTTATAAGCTTGTGTGAATAAAAAAAGTTGTATAAATTAGATATTCGAATTATTACGAGTGAGAACTAGTGATGAATAATTTTGATCGATTGCATGAAGTTATAAATGTACACCTTCATGTTTATCGAAAACAAAAAAACAAACCCTAATGCCCTGTTACTTACAACAACAAATAAAACCTATTCAATATTTATGAAAATAAAATTTAAGGGTTTAATGTTTTCGATGTTTTAGGAGATAAAATTATCTACTATACACACATAAAATTATATGAGATCTAAATGGGAGCATGTCAGAAGAAAAAAAAGAAAGAAAAAATTGAGTCTTACATACTTTTATGTGTAAATTTTATCAAATAACACAAGAAATATCAAAGCTAAAATTTAAATAGGAGAAATTTTGACACTTCACTTTTATGTACTTACAATCATAGTTTGACTTTGAGCAGTAGAATATGAAACATTAACTGAAAATAATTTAAACTTAAATTAAAAAAATAACTTCACCAAGCTCTTTATATTTGGGCATCTTGCTTTTCAATGCACTTTTTAAAAATACACATATCTAACAAAGACGTAAGCATATAAATTGATATTTAATGGTACGTTATTTTTTGAAATCCTCAATCTATTATTATTTTTAGAAAACTGGATAACAATATAAAATCAAGTAATTTATTTCATTTCATTTGACCTGTAATAACAAACTCAAACTTTAGATCTAATTTCCATGAAATGACATTCAAATTTTTACTGATATTCTTTCTCATGACGAAAAACGGCAAAGCACCCTCCTCCAACAAGGAAATAAAAATGAAGGAAACACAAATTGTCTTTATTTACAACAAATATCGTCACAGTTGGACAGAAAAGATTTTCCAACTGATGGAATCAGCTCAAATGCCGGCTTGGACACAACACTTTTGACCTGATGTGAATAAATGATACCCCCTCGTTGATTAGAAGATAACCACGTTGAATACGTAAAGCCGTTTCTGGCTTTCAACTGAAACCTTATTGAGCACAGAATGCTCAAATAAATCAAGAAAATCAAGCCAATTCATCTATTTGTCAACGAAATCAATTTGATACACAATTTTTCTAGCCACCCTATACACCACCGTAGTCTTCTTTCTTCAACAAAACCACAGTATGAATATGGCAATGGCATTCGTCATAAATAGTAACATCGGAAAGGGTGAGTGAGAATTGAAAATAAGATTAGCGTCTGTTGTTCTCTTTTTCCTCCAGTGTTCTTTTCTGTCGTTGCGCATTTCTAGCTGCAACAATTTCGGAATCCTTACTTACGGATTCATCTGACTTACCAGCATTCCTGTCCCAGAATGGCAAGCCACCATTCGATGATGCTGCATTTCGCACAGCCCTTGGTATTTTCAATGGTGAATCTGGGTCCACAATATTTCCCTCTGCCCTGGGAACAGAGGCAGCATTTTCAGGTCTAGATGAGCGCCTTCTATGTGTTATTTTCACAGGGACATTTGTTTCTGTAATGTTACTATTTTGTTTCTTGGGGTTGGAGACTTCAGAATTCTGTGGCTGCGAGGAAGGTGGCGGATCTGAAATAAGGATTATGGTGGATTTCCGCAATTTCTTTCTCTGATTACCCTTCAGGGCATTTGATTTGACCTGCAATAAGAGACAGTTATGCTTAACTGGGCTAGGACAAAAAATATCTTTACTTATGTACTCGTGCATTTTTGAAGTCCTTTAAATTTAATAATGCTGAAGATATGCCCCTGGGAAGATACAAAAGCATTTGAGACATTGGATTCTCTGAAAAGTATTTCCAATATTGGGTTTTTAAAATGGGAAAAAATACTCTTATGTTACATGTGATTAATTTTTCTCCTACACACCTTTCGATAATTGTGCCATCTTTTTCTTTTCTTTTATTTTTATTTCTCAGGTAGTGGAGCCTACAAATTTATCTATATGACATGAGATAATTATCTTCTTTAACATGAAATAACTTATCTCTTTTAACATGAGATTAATAAAACTCTTTTAAAATCTACCAAATATAATTTTAAAAAATTAAAATTATAAAAAAAATTATTAATAAAAAAACTAAATTTATAACTTAAATAAAAAAGTTAAAAGCGACATCATTCTTTGATCGAAAATAGAATAAAAAAATTAATTTTAAGATAGTAGAATGTTTTACAATTATTTAACACGTGAAAATGGAACAGCTTAAATCAGAGTAAAAGAAAGAGAAAATTTTAATTAAATTATTAGGAAAAGTTATAAATATCATTAAATATATAAAGTCAAAACATTAATAAAATCATGGGTTTGGTGTTTGTCACTTTCTCTCTCCCATGATTTTTATTTTTTGTGTCTATCTCTCTCTTAAAATGACATATATTTTCTTTTAGAATGACATCTTTATGTCATTTAAAATGACAAACACTTTTCCCTAAAATCATACTAAAAAAATATAAAAAAATGTAACAAAATCGAGATTTGTTATTTAAAACATCTAAAAAATAATTACATACAAATTTTTAATATAATTTAAGGAAAAGTTCATCAATGCCCCTGTAATTTGCTTTAGAATCACCTATGCCCCTGTGGTTTTTTTATCACATATGCTCCTGTGGTTTGCAAAAGGGTATGTTTTTTCATCACATATGCCCCTGTGGTTTTTTATTTTTTACAAAGCACAGGGGCATATATTATAAAAAAAACCACATGGACATAGGTGATTCTGAAGCAAACCACAGAAGTATTGGTAAACTTTTCTTATAATTTATAAATATAAAATAACCCTTGCTGAGATGGTTATAATTAAGATACCCAGAATACTGGCTAAAGATTAAGACAATTCGAAAAGAAATCATTGATATGATCAAATAGAGCCAATTCAAAGAAAATTAAAATTGACAGTTAATGTAAAAGTGTGTTGAAAGGATTATATTACCAGCCTACTTTTATTATAGAAGAATTTTTTTTTCCTTAACTGACAATTATTAATATCATTAAATACAAAAGTAATTGTAAAAGTAATTACAAACTTTATTAAAATGCATAGTTAGTGATAGCAAATTCAAATATAATAATAATTATTATTATTGAATTAAAATTGACATTTCATTTTCATTTAATAGTGGTTTCTATAATGCATTACATGCATTCCTTTAATGATATAAAGTTAATCCTTTAATGATATAAAGTTAATTGAAAATAAATAAATTATATTATTTAGTAATAACAAAACATGCAATGAATAAGAGGAATATCTTACATTTTTAAAATAAACAAATAATGTGAAAAATAAAGAATAGAACTCAAAAGTCATCGATCTAAAATAAGGAAAGAGTTATACTTACAAATTTTGTACTTACAAACTAAATTATATAACCAGTTCATAGTTTAGTTCGTAAAAATTTGTAAATATATGTCAAAACTTCAAACAGATTGTAGTACTTGCAGCTCCAATGCAATAGTGACATGAAAAAAATGAGATGATTTAAATCAAATGTTGGCTTTTCAAAGGATGACTAACGCGCACCTGTGTATTTCCTATGTCAGACAGAGGTTTCCTTGGCCCTTGGTCACTGTTTGTCTCGGCAAGCCTATCAACCAGTGCTCCCTGAAGTAACTCTGCACCTTGAGTAGCTAGAAGGCGGTCTCCGTTTGTCTCGTCAATACTTCCGGTCCTTTGAACCAATCCCGATTGTGTTGGCTCCATTGACTCATTCGAGATTGATGTTCTGTTGGCACACTTGGTCGCTAGGCAACCGCAAGAACTCCCACAACTGCTGCCCATAGCTTTGCACTTGCATTTTGTTGTCTTGCACGTCGAGGTTTTACTACAAGAGCAGCAAATATCTGATGCAGTTTCCCCAGATGCACCTACAAGTCTATCTCTTGAATTGTCTACGAAATCTTCTGCATTGATAATATTTAACTGATTATTTTCCATGCTCGAGTGTCTGCTTTTGGATTTCCTTTTCCTAACCCTTAATTTTCCTGACTCTTTCCACTCATCATCTGTTGCCTCTACATCATAATCATCTGATTCTGTCTCAGATATATCCATGTCCTCCAGTAGAAGGGTAGATCGGCGGTGTTCCTAAAGTTAAAATAAGTAGCAGCGAATTAAATGATAACTAATTGCTCATCAACTGCAGTGCTAAAAATGCAATTGATTATGACATAGAATCCTTTGCAGGCATTGTTGTGAGAGCTAGTGATATGTGAGACCTACCGGCTTGCGCAAATCATACTTGTGACCTCCAACATTCAAGTCAGAATATTCTGAATCCCCCACAGATCCTGAGTATCTCTTCAAAGCTTCACTCTACCATACAGTTCAAATGATATGGGAAAAACTTATTAAAAAGAAAATACTAAAATTTTTGGGAATCAAACTGCTAAATTAGGACATATAATAACTTCAATCATACAAAGTACTGCTAAAATTTGGGAAGGAGGAAGATTGACAAGTTTCAATATATGGGTACAATCTACCTGCAACTTCAACTTAGAAGTAAGTTCAGCTTTTATCATTTCCAACTGTCGAAGTGAGTAGCTTAACCTTACTACTTTTTCTTTAAGATCTCTTATTTCTATGTCCTTTTCTCTGCTGATTACTTCTTTATCTCGCAATGAACACCTGAGATAAAGAGAAGCGAGAGGAAAATGCCAGTCATATAATCACATTGCATTTTACTTGGTTAAATCATGGACCAAAACATGACACAGAGATAAGCATTAACCTGGACGAAGACGCCATATTGAACAAATAATTCATCAAATTCTTGGCATCAGCAAGGGATCGGACTTGGTTCCAACGTCCTTTGCCACTAAAAACCCGTTCCTGCTCTTCTGCCTCTGACAACTGGGATGCCATAGACACTAATGTTGTGGAAGAAGTAGAAAGCATGTTTTCAAGGGAAAATATCCTAGAATTTCTTGCCCCAGGAGACATCGATATGGGCCAATCACTACATTAACACCCAGTCAATGAGAAAGTTTGTTAAACAAAGATTGCGAAAGAAAAAACACAAGACTGTACAGTTCTTGAAGGAAAAATAGTTAACTGCAAGGCATTTCACCTTGTATTATTTTGCTTCATCATATCTGCTTCTTCCTTTAACCTGGTGATTTCCTTGGCCATTTTAGCTCTCCTGAAATGACAAGCAATAATTAAATGAATCTATATATATATATATATAGATTCATATATATATATATATATATATATATATATATATATATATAAATAAGAATAATAAGTCTTACACCTAATTTTAACTGTTTACTACAAATTTATTAATCATGTGCGTCATTAGATGTAAGTGCGGTCAATGGCTAAAATTAATAGTGTATCTTTTTCTCAATTTTGTTTGTTGATCCTATTTATGTTTAATGGTTCTTATTTATTAAATATTTGAGCCATTAGATATAAACAAATCAATGATCAAGATTTGGTGTAAAACTTCTTATTCTTACACCGGTATAAGAATATCCTGCCCCTATATATATATAGAGGTAGGATCCTTTGACACCGGTGTCAAAGGATCCTACCTCATATATATGAAAAAATATTTCTACAGCCACTTTAGATAAAGTTATCTACAGCTGCCCTTTATAACTATGTACTACCGGTAGTACATAGTTATAACATTAAAGTTGTTTTTTTTCTCTTTCTCCACATTAGCATACGGGTTCTGAAAAGTGACTAAGGAGGAGAAAAAAAAAATAACTTTAATGTTATAACTATGTACTACCGGTAGTACATAAATGGTAGTTGTAAATAACCTTATCTAAAGTGGTTGTAGAAATATTTACCGTCGTAACATATAGGAATGCTTAACAGAGAATGTTTAGTCCTCGCTATAAAATTGTCATACCAGCTTGCTAGAATCACTGGGAATTCAACTTAAATTACTAAGTTTTTTATTTCATTGCAAAAAATTAACCATAATTACATTTATTCTCTTTAGGATCTGCCGTTGAATGCTTACAGACCAAAATAATCACAGTAGGAAATCGTTTTGAAAAATCCCTCAAAAACAATGCTGATAACATCCACAGGTAGCTAACTCCTAAACACATGTATGCCAAGAAAATTAGAAAATAATCAGTCCAAGTTTTCTCATCTTTCAAGTCTGGCTTGTATGGGGAAGGTATAAAACACCAAATCTTGCATACAAAATAAATACAATGCTGACATAATTAATATGTCTAGTGTCTCGAATTGGCTAATCCACACTTCACTTCTATTTTAAAAAAGGTGAAAATAACATAAATTATCATATTCTTACAGATGTAAAAAAAATGGGGTTTCCAACCTCTCATCCATCACCTTATTGCATTCAAAACTCAAACTTATGCTCATAAATTTAATCAGGCACTCCAACTACGGATTTTAGAATAATCTTAAAGTGGAAAAGGACACATACTCTTCCATTTGATGCTCATATTCTGAACGTACTTCATGTACTCGGACAGTGACTTCTAGCTCATGCTCAATTGCCTTCATCAAAGCCTTCAAAGAGAAAAACACATGTGAAACCAAAACACCAAGACATCCCACTCCTTACCATGCATGAAAATATGATGCGTAGTCTAATCAGTATGCCAAGAAACCAGAAGTTAATAACCAGCAAAATCAAGCACACATCAATGTTTAATAAACAAATTAATCATTGTGTACAATTTACAAATTCATCATAAAGTTATCAGTACCTGAATTCCAGGACCATTCCCACCTCCAACACCTGTGTATAAAACAATATATTGTCAGTTATTGGTAAGCAAGCTCACAAAATAGGAGAAAGAGCTGCATGACACAGTAAATCTCCTAACCCATAGTTTCACGCGAGGAAGCCCTTCGAGATTCCAGAAGTTCTTTCAGCCTTTTTGTGGCCAGGGAAGCTTCTTCTGTCTTCCTTTGCAATACCTGTGATGGACACATAAATAGTGGGATAAACAGTATCGAAATTAGACAGCAACAACAATTAATTTGAACACCAACTCACCATCTTTTGTCTCTGATTCAATGCTAACAGCTTATGCATCTCATATTCATTCCTTCTGCCCTCTTTCTTAAGCTGGTTATTAATCAAAATATGTATCAGAAGACTTACTGTCATCATTCATTATTAATCTATTTGTTGAAACAGTTCTAGTTAGAGATGTTGCCGTGCTTCTGATAAAGACTAGAAAGTGTTAATCCCTGATCCCTCTACACGGGTAAGAGATAAAAGTATAGATAAGACCAGTATCAGATGTAAAAAAGACTACCAGAAGTTGGGAAAAGATTACCTCTATATGACTATTGAATGGAATAACAAAGTAACAACGAGATTGTTATTTAAAAAATTAAAGGAAATTCTTCCCTTACGGATTTACCTGAAGAACTTCTTTTTCGCGTGAAGCTTTCCATAACCTAAATTGTTCAGATTCCTGCTTAATCTTTTGTTGAAGTTGAACCTAAAGAAAATAAACTATGATGAGTAATGCCCCAAAAGGACAAAAAGTTTTCCACTTGTAACTGAAAATGCAAGTTTTGCAAGGATCATTCCACCTTTTGAGCTTTAATTCTCTGGATTTCATCCTGAAGACGTTTTGCAGCCTCATCACTCTTCTGTTTTTGTCTCAAAAGTTGAGCCTGAGCATCTTGTTTCTTCTTCAGCTCAAAGACCTGAAAAGCAAATAATCAGTTTATAGGATTGAATGGGCATTGAGCATTGACACAATCCAAATAATAAGTCACCTGTGTTTCAAGAGCATTCAACTTTTGAAGATAATCCTGCTTTAACTTTTGAGCACCGTCATCAGGGGTGTATGGAATTTTTGCTAGATTGTACTTAAGTTCCTCAATTTCTTTCTACCAATAATATACGGGAGGAATACGGTTATTACACTAACTTTTGAAACGTAAGAAAACCAAGATATCAGAGCACAGAATAATTACCTGAAAAATTTTCTTCTCTTGTTCCATCTCAAGAAGTTTCTTTTCATAATGATGCCTGAGAAATGTAGTATCAGCATTATTGTACAGCTTCATTTCAGCCTTCAACCAGAGAAAAAAGAATAATTAAAAAGTAGAAATATGTTAAAAATAATCATATCCCTACAAAACATGTGATACAATACATTTAAGCCAAGCTTAGCGGTTTGAAAGCATAAGTGTTGTGAATTTTCATAATTCGAGAAAGGTATTAACCAATCATTACAGCAAGATAAAGTAAATTCTACCTCCTTTTGTTCAAGTTTCATATCCAACTCTTTGAGCTCTTTATCCAACTTTTCTTGAAGAGATGAGTGTTCTTGCTCCTTTGCATCATCTTCTATTTCATTTGTAAACAACGTACAAATATTCAAAAAAATATCCATTGATATTTAGGATGAAATGCCAATTTACAGAGATAGAAAAATCCAAATAAACAAAGTAAAAAACGTTTGTTTAAGAAGTCCAAATGCTGCTGCAGTATCTTTCAGAATCTAATAGGTTATCCTAAAAATTTGATGGATGGACTCGTCTCAACCAAAACAAATTTTTAGCATTAACACTCAATAAAAGATGCATTGTGCCACAATACTAAAATTAAACAAATTGTCCAAAGTACTACCTGTTATGTCCACAGCTTTGCTATCACAATCAGATGAAAACTCATTATCAGGTGCAAATAAAGCATTCTTTGATCCGTACCCATCATCATCAAAATCAACACAATCAACAAAACGGCTTGAATTCGCGGCATGTGAAGCTTTCAAACGTAGGATTTTCCCTTCCAGTTCTTGGATCTTTGAGACATAAGATCTCACTAGGTCATAATCCTAAATATGAGTTCAGACCATGTTTCAGTGATGGATCTACTACTTCTGAAAATTGTAACCATGCATTAAAAAGGACTTTATGCATTCAAACCTGATTTGAATTTGAGTCAATCTCATCCCAAGATTTACCGTTTCGAATTGATTCTATTTTCATAATCAATTGGTCTTTTTCAACCTAAATTATTTTTTAAAAACCTTGAGTGAGGTCCAATATCTTGAAGTCAAAAGCACGACAAATATATCGTAAAGAACTCACAACATTTATCACAACTGAAAAGGGAGAACACACGGGATCAAAAGAAGACCTGAGAATCGAGAGCATGTTGTGCAAAACTCTCACAAGTTACTTGACGTCTTTTAAGCTCCTGCTGTAGCTCTGCATTGCTTGCTTCAAGTAAGGATATTTTGTGTTTAAGAATCTGAACAACAAAAAAAAAAAAAACAATAAAGAATATTAAGAACTTAGAAACACTGCTGATACTTTTCAAAATAGCTGATCGAAAATATAGGATATAGGTAAAAACCGAGGAAGAGAGATAAAAGAAATACTCATAATAATGATATGTTCGACGATAGAATAATGATATGATATGATATTTTTCGGATATTCTAACAATAACAATAACGATGTACCTGAAGCTCCTCAAATGGTCCACTGGCATCACCTCTATAAAATAGGAGCTCAGCTTGCAATTGCTCAATCTGACTCCTCATTGTCTGCACCTGAGCTGCCACTGGATCACGATTAATCTGATACAAGAAAATTCCCGTTGTTCTGAGTAAGAAAAACAAACGACACCGCCCTGAGTTAAAAAACTGAGAAGAAAAAGATGAATACAAAGCACTTACAATTGCCTTGTTCTGAATGTTGCGAGCACGATTTGCGTACTTTAAAGTGTTCAATGTCTCTTCAGCATTTGTGTCGGCAGGACTAACACATGCTGTAACATTCCCAGCAGATTATATGATACATGCGACGATGGAAAATATAAAAATGTCAAAACTCTTATTATGCATTGAGTGTGTACCTATCATCACCGTTTTGCTGTTTCCTCCAAGAGAATCCTACATTTTCATTATCCAATTGATGTCAGAATAGGATAATATTAATCCATGGCGTAGATATTTTAAACTAAACATGACAGAGTTCCGAGATAGGAATGGCAATAAATCCTACCCACATGACATTTTAGCTCGAGAGTTTTCATATACCAAACAAAATGACGAGGCGCACTTTAAACAATACAAGAATTCATGAGTGAACATTCATATATAAGTACTGTTTTATGTCCTCCTATTGTTTCTTACATTATTTCTCGTTGAGAAAGAATCATCCATAAAATGGGCTACGCAGGCAGAATTATGAAGTATACTACTTGTATTGCTTAAACAAATATTGCACAAACCTGCAGTAGGCGTGTTAATTTGCTATCCCGATATGGCACATGGCCTCCGTCTTTTCGCTTTTTTTCATCTCCTAATGCACTAATTACATTTCCAAGAGCCAATAAGCCCTTGTTGATATGAATTCCTAATCCATGAAAAATAATAATTAATTATTAAATAACAGACAACTTGAATTTACAAAGGAGTCAGCTTGCAGAAAGGGCATTAATTAACTCAAATTTCAAAATTTTATGTTAACAATTCTACAGAATCAATATTATTTTTGTATTAATTCTATTCCTAACCGCATAATTCTTTTGTATCATTAACAGTGATAAATACCTTCTTTTAAACGCATGCCATTTGCACCAGTTCGTTTTGCACGTTCAGAACCAGCTAGGTCCACTAAATGGAGCTTGGCACATAAGATATCATCACCGTTCTTTTGCTCCATTGTGATTGTGAATATAGCATGCGAACGACTAGACAAAGCATAAGAACCGTGCAGTTAACATACTATATAAACTAATTTCCCATCAATGTAAATTTCATAAGCGAAAAAATCTGGATACTTTTTTATGGCATTTTACCTTGATTGACTATTCATATTTGTACTCCCAGTGGCACGTGACAATGAACCATTTAAGAGATAAGATGTCATTTCCTCTTTTGTCTTAACTTCGGCCTCAGTCACACCAGCAAGTGTTATTCCTCCATTCCCGGTTTCTCTGATTTGTATGGGGACTCTGGTGGGCGCAGCGATATTTGCAGTAGATGTCACTTCTCCTCTAGAAGAATTGGGATCAAGCAAATCAAAAACCTCTTCCTTGAATATCTGTCATTTTTCAGCAGATCAAGTTTCAAAAGTCTGATCTCAATTGCCAATTACAAGGAAATTCATAACTAATGATAGTATTATTTACCTCAATAAATGACACTCTAATCAAAAACTCTCTGGAGTCCTTCAATGCCTTGACTCTTTCGAATATGGTATCTAATACCCTCGGTATAATTCCACCACTACTTCCCTCTCCATTATAATTGGTACCCATAGTGTATGTTTTCCCAGAGCCCGTCTAACAAAATGAGGGGAAAACTCAATTACAATTAACAACTATAAAAGTGCAGACTACTGATAAAAAAACATATATTTCTAAAATGAAATTTTCGTATTCATCAGGGCATACATAACCAACAACATACGAAAATTATACCTGTCCATATGCAAGAACCGTGGCATTATAGCCAGAGAAGAGTGCATCCACAAGGGGTGCTACACATTCATCGTATATTGTAGACGAAGATGGCCCCGTACTACCATATACATAATCATAGGTGAACGAATGAGACCCAATTTGCACCTACCGAACACACCAACAATTATAAGGCTCCAATTTCATAGATTTTTATATTTCCAACATACACCAAAGCTTAAACTTGAACATTGCCAAATAGTTTATATTGTTGAGCAAAAAATATAAAATGCAAGAATAAAATAAGACCTGAGGTTCGCCGGAAGCAACGGAAATGCAATCTGCGCAACCTAGAAGAAGCTCTGACGTAATCAGGGGGCGAATGTTGACGGCAACTCGCACGCATTGCGTTGAATCTGTGTTCCTCCCATCCGAGTTCTCCATCTCTACCTAACTCAGCCCGTCTTGGAAACCCTAGAACCCTAATTCGATCGCGAAAGTCAGCACCGCATTATTTTAAAAACCGTGATGAATGTGAAAAACATGAAGCGCTGAAGCTGGTGAAATTCTGAACAATTCAAGCAGAAGGGGATTTGGTGTGTGAGCTTGCCTAGTGTGACAGAGAAGAGAAGGAAGAATCAACAGAAAAGAGAGGGCTCTCTGCGTCGTCGTGATCGTTGGAGAAGCAACAGAACAGAACGAAACGAACCAGTTTACGTTTCGTTTCGGTATTTGAAAAACGGAAATTTGAATCTGGACGTGTCGGGTTTGGATTTAACTGAATTGGAGAAAAAGGCGCTCAGGTCCGAACTCAAATACGGAATATGATCACGCGCATGTCACGTGAATGGGAAACTAACGGTATGATAGTCCCTGTTGGGCACATTTTGTGAGTGATATCTATGAAGCCAGAGAAAGCCTACTAAAAATGAATAATTATGGATTGGATTTTATGGAGAGACAACTAGGACTTGATTTCCTTGCCTTTTACTTAAAAACGTGCACACTTCAACTATTTTTTTTCCCCTCCTCCTTTGTTATCTAATATTTATTCCAATTATATTTTTCTTGCCATTTGTTTGCTTTCATTTCCATTGGTGAATTTAGGTATGTACTGACCTTATGATTAACACAATTGAAACGCATTGTATTATTTAAAATGCATATGAGTCTTTTTCTTTAAAAAAAAATAGATGAAAGGTTTCAAGAATGGGTTCATCCACATAACCCCTTTCCTCGTCTTTCGCTCATTTCTCTTCACCTTGCTTTCTTCATTCCTCTTCATTGTTCTCTCTTTCACCAAATCCTTGTGAAAGCTTGATGAAACTTTGAAGTTTTACCATTTTTTTTTATTCTTCTTCCTTTCTCTTCGAGGTAGATTTTTTGAGTGACTTTTAAAATTATGGAAAACCCAAGCCTCAATAATTGATTTTTTTGACTCCTTGATGTAAACCTATTATCTAAGGCTTTGAGAAAATCTGTACATTTGCATAAGGTTGTTGTATTATTAAGCTTTAAGACTAAATTTAAGGTTTTAATCTATCTTACTATTTTCCATTGCAAGTGCTTAAAATATTTGTGATGCTCATATTTGGCTAAAACATAGCTCAATTGCTTACCCAAAGTCATTGCAAGTGCTTTAATTGGTTCTTCAGAGCTGTGAGTAGATGGCGATTATGATGACATATTTTATTTTTATTATTATAGTTTAATTTTTATTTTATTATTATTGTTTAATAACAAATGCATGGGGAAGCAAATATTTTAAAATGTGATTGGTCAAATTTATGCATTTTAAAATTACATGATATGGATTTTTATATAATGACATTATATTTATGATTTTTTGACATTTGTAATTATTTTATAAATTTTGGATATAAATTTTATTATAAAATATTTAATTTAAAATATTGAAATTTTGGAATTTATATTTATCATTGCAGATAAATTTATCTTAATTAAATGTTGCTTTGTTAAAATATTTTATAAATATTTTTGGGATCCATGTTAGAATCCCGTAGCCGTTAGCGAGGGTAACAGTCTAGGTGCACCTAGTTATATATAGATATTTATTCCGGGAAGAGAGAGCTATCCGTTAGATGGAACCGCCTCAAGAGAAATGTAAACTCTTGGAGGAGAGGGCTATCAGCGAGATGAAGCAACACCCGATCATTTGACTTAAGAAAGAAAATGGCTACCTATTAGATGGAGTCACTTCTGGAAAAAAACCAACATTTGGAGGAGAGGACTATCAGTGAGGTTGTAACACCACGTATACATCCAAATTTATTATCATATTATGGTATTAAGCGCAACTCAATTAAATGTGGAAGCTAAAATAAATTAAGTTATCAAACATGCAAGGTTACTTTTTCCTTATTATCATGCAATATAACAGTTCATCTATATCCTTATGTAATTGCAAAACCATAATATAAATCGTGAAATGCCTCCATAACATAAGTAAATACTAAGTCATGAAGCTACATCACGTAGTCATGACTAACATCCATATCTCATGGCATATACAAAACATATATGTCCAACAAAATACAAATATCAAATAAGGCATGAACAACTCCCATGCTCACAACAAATATAACATAAATATAATAGTCATATCTCAGGTACAATAATCATGTCCAAATTATATAAATAAAACATGCATATAAATCAACTTTGTTCCGGCCTCTTGCCTCGAGAAGCATCCATCTCATGGACGTCTATATCTGAAAATATGCTCCACACGAGATGAGATCTTTAAACAGAAATCTCAGTAAGCAAGAGTTCTCGAAGAGTTCCTCCGCCCCAAGCTCACTTCAGTATAACAGTTCAAAAATAACAATTTCACAGTAATAATATAATCACATAATGCAACAACATATATATATATCATGCATGTGTGCTAACAAGTCTACTAGCCAGAGAACACATCATTTACGCATGTCTGCTACACGCATAAAGCATAGGGCACCTACCCTATACCCACACTCAGGGAATATCACTCTTGTGCAGCTTCACACTACACTCAAGTATTACCAATTTACCATCTTGTGTGTAATATACCACATAACATACATATATAAGAGTGCATCATTTCATCATCTCAAATAAATGATAAGCACATATACCATATAAAACTATCATCCCCCTCTTGGAGTATGGTGGAACAAATGGCGATTAACCCGGAGAACACGAAACTTACATGTCAAGTAGTGTACTCAAGCTCAAGAGTTCAAATAACAATCCACGGGTTACCAAACAGCATAATCACATTATATTTATGCCAAAAAATTTATTAATACACATATCCCAAAATTTCAAATTAATTGGACTACGTTTTCTTTTTCGTTTAGTGACTATAGGATACTCCTAAAGCCCCCAAATACAAAACCATGTTTACTCTTTTTAAAAATTTAATTGCAAATCTTCACCAAAAATTCTAATATTTTAATATATTAAACTAGACATTCTAAGCTTTCCAACGACATATTTTATGTCTCAATCGGAGTTGTATAACTCCGGTTATATTTTTTGCAAGGTGATTGATACAAACTGAATCTTCAACAACCAAGTCGCGACTTCAAACTAACACTGCGATTGATCCACTTATCTAATGGCTATGAAATTTTACAGGGTTCTATACCTATGTGTTAGCTTCACATAATTCTAAACCTCACTCAATTTGAAGCTCTGTATCTCGAGATATCGTGATTTTAACAAACTAGTGTGTTGCTATCACAATTGCACTAGGTAATCGATTATCATACACGATTACCTAGTGCAAATTAATATAAAAAATATTTGAGACAGAGCGATTTTTTTAACTCACTCTTAAAAATAGGATAGAGTTAGGGATGTGCATGGGTCAAACTGAACCGAATTTTTTGAAAAATCGAACCGAATTGGTTTAAATGATTTGGTTCGGTTCAAAGCTGGTTCTGTTCGGAAGTGGTTCGGTTCAGTTGGAAACAGTTTGATTCAGTTGCGACTATCAGACATGCCACAAACAAGAAGAAGGAAATGCTGAACAAGATAAAAGAAACACAGATAAAACAGGGGTAAGAAGAAAGAACGCACCTGAGCTTTATACTTCGGAAGTTCACACCAGGAGACGTGTCACCACCAGAAATGCAGAAGAGAGCTCTGAGAGACGAGAGAGTTTCCACAATGTCACCGAAATGATTTTCCCTCCAAACGAAAAGGCTCAAATACGAAGGGTTTTTTCCAACGGATAGACCAAAAGCCACGAAACGTGTTAAACACAACGGGTTAATAGGGACACGTGGCAGGAAAGGGAAGCGTTTTACTTACAAAACCACTCACGCCTGTCCTTAAACCCCCACGTAATCACAACAACATTTAATGCTCCTGACTGATTAGACGTCTAATCCACCATTCTTAAGCAGCTGAAGGTCATGATGACACTATAAGGCATAATTACCGCGGCACACAGAAAAAGGACATATGAGTGACAAACTATCGCGCCTCATACAAGAGCAATATAGCTCACGGCCTTGCCAAATGACAACACCGCAAGCTAGTGGGCAACTGATCCAGATAAAATATAGGCCCAATCAGGGCCCAGTAACACATGGAAATTCAAGCCCAGTAAAAACCCAGAACAAAGCACAAGGAACAAGCACGGACGCGCTACCCATATCACGGCACACAAGACGCGATGTCCTCATCGCGGCACACAATACGTGATGGCCTCATCGCGGCACGCGACTCTCACCTCGCATGTGATGCCTTCTATAGGAAGTAAACTTAAGGCCCAAGGCAACTCCATCGCGCCTTAGCACCAGTAAGCAACAGACAGCTCCAGCTCGCTACAACTCTACTACTAGACACTATGGAAGATAAGGCTACAACAGGTCCCCTGCCTGACCTGCAGCCCAAGGCTGGCCACTCAGAAGCCATGCCGCCTTAACAAAGGCGGCATCACAACTACTATATAAACACACGATATACCACCAAAGTACGATCATCCTTTACTTTCACAACATAAAACACCTGCCTCTGATACCGACTTAAGCATCGGAGTGTCTTCGCAGGTACCCCCCATTTGGAGCAACGTGAAGGACAAAGGGCTCAAGCTTGGTCTAACAGCAGTACCTGGCCCAGGCCAATAACCACTGAAGGAGTCTCAACCGTGTATGATTGGACTCAATACGTATCGGACAGTCCATACCGTATTTGATCTGATCAGATACAAATAGAAGTTGTTTACATAATTCAAATATAATATTATCTTATCTTTATTCCTAATATAGTTAAGCTGATTAGCATATTAACAAATATTCAACTTGCCAAATAATAATTAAGGAGAATGATTTTCTCCTGTTGCATGAAAAACTTATCTCTTTCTGCACAAATAAAAAAAAGTCCCATTAATCTTTTTTTTTAAAAAAATTGGTCAGTCCCTTGATTTCATGAATCTGTAGGAGAGTTATAAGTTTCTCATGTAATAGGATAAACTTATAACCCAATAATTAAATATCGATTTTTAATGAATATTTTGTTATGTGATGATTGCCATCATGTAAATACATAATAACATCTACTAAAAAAATACACAACTACTTCAGATAAATGATCATTTTAACTTTTAATCATAAGTAAATGAAGATTTTTATATCTATTTGATCATTAAATGAATGGTATTTCATATCAAAATAGTTCAAAAATTATTATTTATTGAGATTAAATTGATATCAAAGGCTAGTCTCCTATCCTCTCGATTCTTCTTTTCGGGTTTTAGAGTCAAGAGGGAAATCAAATATTAGGCACAGTAGATATATTCTATGAAAATAATATTGGTAAAGGTGGCTGTGAAAGATGGGTTCTCTATTGAATAGTTAAAAGAGATATGGAGCTGTTTAATTAACAAAACATTTTGTGGGTTTTTATTGGTTTTAGAGGTTTCATATGTCTCTGATTGCTGTTTGGTTTTGTTTTGCAGCAGTCCTACATGAAATACAGACAGGGGATGAATGCAGGTTGCATTTGAAGAAGAATGGTCTGAGACTAGCTGAAAATAAGGACACATTAAGAGCATTTAGATCAATTAATATTTGAGAAAAATATTTATTATTCTGGACGAACATTAATGAGTTAATTTTTTCTATCCCGTGTGTCTCACTGGGTTTTTTCTTTTATATATATATATATACCATATTCGACGGTTATAATTATCATGGGGTAAAGCCATTATCAAGATCGTGGTGGAGTCCATTTATGCCAATAACGATTGGGTCGTAGGCACGTTCTGGGCTCTCTTGCCGGTTTCGTGCTTAAAAGATGCTTCTTACCTAGTTATCCTAACTCTAATCTGGGCTTTATTTGTGCTTGCCTAAGTCCATATGATCAACCTGAAACATTTATGATATTAAATGACACAACTTTGTGTAGTGAAATTACTGTATTTTTGCGGGTTTTAACCTTCTATCTTTTGCAAAATCAGGAAGAGAAAGAAAAGGATAATATTATGAAGGAAAAAGAAGATAAAAACTCACAAAAACACGTTAATTTCAATTAAAATGACATAAAATTATGTCATTTAAAATGGTAAATATTTTTGGTTTAACTATTTTATGGAAAAATAGTTATTTGGAAAAACTACTTCAAAACCATTATAATAATGAGGGAATTAGATAATTTCTATCTCTGTGACCCAAAAAACTAGTATACTACGGGAGTAGATACAACAAACTTATAGGAGTGTGCCATGTCCATTATTACTGAAAAAAATAATTAACTTTCATATTTTATATTATATATGAGAAAAGTATTTCTCCAATCAACGGAAATAAAGTTATCTTCAGTGAACTCAAAACGACGTCGTTTTGGGTTATAAGATTAAAAAATTATAATTAAAAAAGACTAATATAACACTGCAATATATTAAAATTACAAAAACATCTTGATTTCTGTCCTAAAATGACATCATTTTGAACTCACTGAAAATAACTTATTTTAATTGACTGAAAAAATTCTTTACCCATTATATATTACCGATAATACATAATATAAATATATCATTGTACAGTGGATTCATAAATCTTTGTGTCTATATAAATTAATGAAATTGTCCAAAAACTCTACTTGCCTCACCTAATGATTGGTGCGACTGTAATATGCTCCTATATGACGTTATTGGTTGAAATTTCACTGTCACCCTTGGATTTTAAAAAAACAGGCTACTTCCTTGATTTTTTTATTAATATTAAGTTTAAAATGAATAGTATGATGTCATTAACAACATCACGGCTCCCTTCATTTTTGTTATTAGTGGCATTGCATTTAAAGCCTATCTATATTTTTTTTATTGGCTGTTATATGCCATAAGTTATTAATAAGGTTTACTTTTTTCAAGTTGACGTGCATGTTCGGTAATATTTGTATTATTTTTAATTCATTGATTTGATGATAAATATGTTATTTATGATATTAATATCTTTTCTTATTTTTTTGGAATTTTAATATATTTATTTTATGTACTTAATCAAGATTTTTATTTATCAAGTTTTTTTTATAAATTATAAATATTAGTTAAGTACTTTCTTTAATTCATATTTGTGCATAACTAATTATTTGATATTTTACTCCCTTAATAAAAACATCTCAAATTCGACAGGGGAGCTCTCTTTGAATTTTTTTTTATATCTTAATTTTTTATTTTTTTTTATAAATTTTAACTCTTTGAATCTGTTATAAAACTAATCTCAAATACGAGAGAAATAAATGATTAAGATCTTATAGCCCTCTCCAAAATAGCATTGGTGGGTAGGGCCAGCAAAACTAGCTCGACTCGGCGGACAGACTTGCCTAGTCCCCTAAACGACGCGAAACAGGCTAAATTTTACAGCCCACTCTCAAGAGCGGGGTGAACGAACTGACTCATTTTTTGACTGGTTGATGACGGAAAGAGATGGGGTAGGACAAATTAATATAAAAAAGATTTGAGACGGACCGAGTTTTTTAACTCACTCTTAAAAATAAGATAGAGTTAAGGATGTGTATGGGTCGAACCGAACCGAATTTTTTAAAAAATTGGACCGAATTGGTTTAAATGATTTGGTTCAGTTCAAAGTTGGTTCTGTTCGGATGTGGTTCGGTTCAGTTGGAAACGGTTCGATTTAGTTGAAAACGGTTCGGTTCGGTTCATAATCGGTTCGGGTCTACCCTATTTTGAAAAGAAAAGAAAAACTAAAAATTTAAAAATAAAGTTATAAAAATTAATTTGGTTCGATTTAAAAACGGTTCGGTTTGGAAATAGCTCGGTTCTTAAATTGATTCTAAAAATCGGTTTAGTTCATGAATTGATTTTTAAAAAACTAATTCGGTTCATGAACTGATTTTTAAAAATCAATTATTTTAAGTACAGTTCGGTTCGATTTATAGTTCAGTTTAATTTTTTAATTTTTTTACACATGGAGTGAACTAAATCATTTTTTGCCGAACCGCAGCCCCCATTTCACATAAATTTACCAAAATCATACAATTTAACTTCACTAGGAAAAACAAACTAATCAGCATTCAGCAATCCAGCACACGAAACACGTTTCTTATCATGTCCATTTCATGGATACGGACAAGTTCTCAATATGCTCTCTGCGCTTGTATTATCCACCCAAATAATTAAACATATTTTTTTATCTCTCTCATTTCTTTTTTCTGTTATATAAATGATAAACGGATATATGATATTAGGGATTAATGTTTTTTTTTTTTTTTTATCTTCTACACATATAAAATATATAGGACCCATATAAGATTATATGAAAAGAAAGAAGAAAAAAAAATATAAATTCTACACACTTTTATATTCTGAAAATAAAACATATTCGATAACAAGGCTAAGTTCTTTTTTTCCACAATTTTTTTAATAATATATATATGCATCATTTTGGACCTTTTCCTATTGTTGAATCCTATACAATCAATATTCGCTGGTCGTTGACTACGAGGAAACCATCATGAAATATCGAGATAAAAAACATTAAAATTGAAAATTAAAAATTGAAAACTCTAGGTAGACATTTCGTTTACGTTATTATTACTATTCAGGATTGAAGAGCCACCTTCTAGGCGCCACATAAATGCACACAAGATATCTGTGTTTTTAGCGGGTTATGAACAAATATTAATCCGAAACAGTGCGTTTTGATAGGACCACGTACAAGAAACCCGTCCATCGGCGCAACTTAAAAGAACCAAGCATAGCCAACCGAGTTTGGCTTTTCTACCACTGCCTCCTTCTCCAACCACTCGCAAATTTCGTTTCTGTTTTGCTCCCAGGGTAAACTCCTAGTGTTCCTTTCGATTTTTTCTGGAAGACTCTGCCTTCGTTTCCGAGAAAAAAAACATCTTTTCTTCCAGGAACCTGGGAATATTATCTGTAGTACCATTCAGGTAGTTGAATCTCAAATTTCAGGTATTTGAGTGTACTTCATGAGTCTGCAACACATGTCATGTCGAATCACGTGATGTTTTTAGTGATTAAAAACTCCTATCATATGGTTATGTTATAAATTCGGCAAGTTACTTCGGAGTTCGGACGAACTTTTAGGGTTTTATTTATTGTTTTTTTTTTTTGTTTAATTTTTTTTTTTTTTTTTTTTTGTATTTTGTTCATTATTGAAGTTAAATTTTCTCTTAATTTAAATGAATGTCCCTGAGCTTAGTTCAGTTGCTGAGAAATTGTGAGAAAATGGAATTTTGCATTTTTTTTTGTTAATCAATATTCCCTTCGACAAAGGGGGAAAAAAAGATCAAGATTGCAGTGAAATTAGAGTTCTCGTTTTTTTTTTTTCTTGTTTCTTGCAGGTCTTATTTTCTGTTAAATTCTGAAATGTTTTATTTTTTGTTATCCCATCAAGAAACTGAGGCATTGGGTTGAAAGGGTAATATCTGGTTTTCATCAGCGAACCGATCGTATGACCTTGTGCTTCAATTTTAACAATGGTCTACCCAGGTTCAATGCAATTGTCTCGTGACGTTAGGCTCAACAGTAATAGCGGGTTCCGTAGTTTCCGTCATGTAAGTGCTTATTTGAATTTGAATGTTTAGGTAATTCACTACATTTTCCCTCTTTTAAATTCAGAATGCTGAGTTTCATTTCCATGTCATTTGACAGAATCCTATGGGGGTTGGTCGATTACATTTGGTCACCATAAATCTTTCAACATGTAGATTGGTATGGCTTTTGTGGATTATAATTTCCATGCTTCTTTTATATATGTTTGACGGATCTATCTATTTCTTTTCTACTTGTTTGTTAGATTTTTTATTGCTTTTCAGTGTCACTTGAATTCCTTTGTGCTAGAAGTGTTCATTAGCTAAGCTTAAATTGGCTTGGTATTTTGATTGGATCAAATTTTATACTTGTTCTTTACCTGATTAATGACTGCTTTGGAACCAGGGTGAGCCAAAATTTAGACCTAATGTACAAATATTAATTTAGAGGTGAGGGCAAGCCTTAGCAGCGATAAGGTGGCTCCTCTGTGACCAAAAAGTCACTGGTTCGAGTTTTGGTAACAACCCTTTTGCAAAAATATAAGGGTACAACTGCGTACAGTTGACTCTCACCCCTACCTTCGCAAACTCGGGTTGTCTTGTGCACCAGGATTTTCCCTTTATGCATTAGATATTTAGGTCAAGAAATTCTGTAGTGAGCTGGCCAACCTAAAGCATGACCCAAAAGATATTTTAAAACCTGAAACAAGCCCAATTAGCTTTGGGATTGGTCGGGTTATTGGCTAGAGTTGGGTCTTGAGCACCCTTACTCTGTCTATACAATTGTTGTTTTGCTTTTATATTAGTTAATGTTGATTGTGTTTATTTAATCTGAAATCTGAATCAATGGAGGACTTTCTTTTGGAATTAACAGAAGCAAGATTCTTCAGCACTCCATCTTTTTAGAGTACATGCCCCAATACGGCATGTGCCTTCCAGATGTAATGTTTTCGTATGCCGGTCTGTCCTAACACCAGGTGGAGGGAATGTGAATCTGCTCATGAAATCTGCTACTGTTTTTTTAACAAGGTCGGCCTCTCTCTCTTTTTTACTGTTAATTGAGAAAAGTTCCCACAAGTTAGCGGATATGGATGTGCATATTTATATATAGTTTTACAATTCAGTCTTTTTCATTTTGCCATAAAAATTTATGTTTGTTAGGGTGTGCACCCTTGAATTTTATGCAATAAAATTTAAGTTTGATATCCTTTCTCATAATGTTACATGTATATACAATCAAGCTTATCCCATGAATATTTTCTGCACCTCTTCTAAATTTCATTTAATGGTTATATTATAATCAGCTTGTATTTATGATTTAGACTTCAGAGGTATTTAATTATATATCATATCGTGGTAGAGAGTAGACTTTCTTTGATGTCTTTCTCAATTCAATTTGACTCATCATTAGACCGCCTGCATGTTGTCAGTGTGCCAAACTACAGCTGCAGGGTTACTCTTCCCCTCCTGCTCCCCTCTCTTTTGGTTTTGGTATCTCTTTATCTGCTAGTTGACATGTATTTTGGAGTAACTTCAACCTGTCGGATGATCTGTTTCTCTTTTCTCTTTGAGGAGTGAATATAATTTGGCATTGACTGGACCCACTAGGATTAAACTTAATTATTATATGAACTTGTGAAGTAATCTGCAAGATGATATTACAATATGTTTAATTTGTATTTTTGTGTTGTTTCTGAAGGACTGGTATCAATTGGTGCTAAATTTATATTTTTATTGTTGCATCTCCTTATTTTTTATTTAATCTATCATTTAATGCACAATCTCTATGGAAACATTTATTTTTATATATTTATACAGGTCATATGATGCTTTATGTGGAAGCCCTATTTGGCTTCGATTGATCCCAGCCCTTGGTATCATTGCCTTTGCTGTTTATGGTCTTGAGCCGCTCATTCGTCTCAGCAGGACCCTATTTCTTCAAGTATTTTCCATCCATTTTTATTTCTTCATTTGTTTCAATCTGATTGAATTCTATGATTAGTGCTTTTTGTGATTTATGAAAAATAATTTCAGAGGAATGACAGTAGTTGGAAGAAAAGTAGTTCGCGATATATGATGACATCTTATTTTCAGCCATTGCTGTTATGGACTGGGGCAATGCTCATATGCAGGTTTGTTCTTGATCAACAAGTATATTCCCTGGAAGCCCTAGCAGTATTGATCATAGCATTCTTTGTTTCAGGGCATTAGATCCACTAGTCCTACCATCTGAGACCAGCCAGGTTGTGAAGCAAAGGCTGCTTAATTTTGTGAGATCTTTGTCAACAGTGATTTCATTTGCTTACTGTTTATCAAGGTACTGATTTCTGGAAGAAGCATCTGGTTGAAATTGGAAATGCTTTTCATAAATGGTATTCTGTATTATTTTATTTACTATTACCTCACTAAATTAAAAATATGCTTCCCCCTGCATCTCTAGTGTTGTAATCAGTTTGCATTGCTCTTGATAATTTGTTAAGGTTTTCTGCTTGTACCATTCATGAAGAGATAGTGTTTTATCTTTCTTTTTTTCTCTTTTTATCGGTTGCTCTTTCTCACTATTAGGTGTATTGGGTCCGGTATTGTGTTTCAATTGTAATGTTATATATATGATTGTTTTTCTTGTTTTCAGCTTAATTCAACAAGCACAAAAATTCTTTCTGGAGGCAAATGACTCTGGTGATGCAAGAAATGTATGTTTCTGTTACATATTCATTTACTGCTTTTGTCAGTTCTTGTCATTTTTCATTTGCTGTGTGCATAGCATTTTAATGCAATCATACTGACTAGTTAATTTTGTTGTCAGGGGATTTTAGCGAAGCCTTAGATTTTATTTTTTTTATTTTTTTAATATCATTAGAATTTAAGATTAGGAATATACTCATGATATTGGAAATATAAAATTGATTGTCTGTATGTTATTTACAATTTTTATTCAGTACATGGATTGAATGTGTTATATTATATCCTTCATTTCGTGTTTGGATCTTTCTGTGAGTGATCCCAAAATTGTTAATCTATTTACCAGCTTCTCATTCTAGAAAAATTGACTGACAGATGGGCCTTGATTTTGCTGGGAAAGCAGTGTATACTGCTGTATGGGTTGCCGCCTTGTCATTGTTCATGGAGTTGCTAGGTTTCTCCACACAGAAGTGGTTAACTGCTGGTGGTTTGGGCACAGTATTGCTCACTCTTGCAGGTCGTGAGGTACAGTTTTATTTCGTTTGTACTGTCTACTAGTATAGTTTGTTTAAGTCCTCCTCTTAATTGCATTTTCTGGTGCATCCTCATAAAAACTTTATCAAATTCTGTAGAAGTAAGTCTTCTATGTGTATATCCAGAGCTAGTAGGCATTATCAATTAGGTGATTTTTAATCCAAAAAAATCATTTATTTAATACTCTTGTTTGCTGCCATTCTAAGTTCATATTTGTGATTAATCCAGATATTTACAAACTTTCTTTCAAGTATAATGATCCATGCAACTCGGCCATTTATTCTGAACGAGTGGATTCAAACAAAGATTGAAGGTTATGAGGTTTCTGGTACTGTTGAGGTTTGTATCTCTACTTAAAAGGAACTTCTACAAGTATAAGATGTATGATGCTGATTGAGTAAAAAAAATTTAAGTGGTCTACATAATCATTTTAAAAATAGAAGAACTATTACTGTTGGTAGATTTTCTTATTTGTGCCACTTTAATTATGTTGTATTCAAATTTTATTTTTTTTCTCCAGCATGTAGGCTGGTGGTCACCAACTATTGTGAGAGGTGATGATCGTGAGGCAGTTCATATTCCTAATCACAAATTCACTGTAAATGTTGTGAGAAATCTGAGTCAGAAATCTCATTGGCGTATCAAGAGTTACGTTGCTATCAGTCACTTGGATGTCAACAAAATTAACGTGAGCATTCTTGGTTCACATGCTTGAAAAACTTGTTCAAGGACTTTCTGATGTGCATTTTTTAATGTGAAAGCTGATGTTGTCCCCATTCCATTTTCTTCATGCAGAGTATTGTGGCTGATATGCGCAAGGTTTTGGCTAAAAATCCTCAAGTAGAGCAGCAAAAATTACACAGAAGGGTGTTTTTGGAGAATGTCAATCCTGAAAATCAGGCTCTTATGGTAAGCATCTGTTCTGTTCATTTGTTTATATTTTATATATATGGCAAAAGTCTTCAGCTTTTAGTTTGCAGATTTTGATGTTTTCTGTAGTGTCTCAAGAAATATGGCTCTTTCACTTATCCTTTCTCAATTTACCATTAACTTACTAACGGTCCTTCTTATTGCAGATATTAATATCTTGCTTTGTAAAAACTTCACATTTTGAAGAGTACCTCTGCGTTAAGGTAAGATAGGACCTACAGCAATTGCAGTTGCTCATGATGTAATATGTTGTATGTTGACAAGTGTTTGCTAATAACTTATAATCCTGATCTTTTCTAGATGCTGACAAGCCATTTATTATGATATAATCCATCTTGATCAAATTTTTCACCGACTTCTATTTTCACTAATTCTGTAATTTGCTGTACTTGGACTTCAATTGGTGAGATCTTGCGGAATTTATTGTTTCACAAATGCTTATTCTCTGGATATTTGTTAATATTCAGACTGTTTGCTTTTATACTTTTCTAAGTCTTTACAGATGTTAAAAGATAGATTCTTAAGCTTAATTTCTATTAAATATTGTTTTATCTGTCATTTTGAATTCTTGGGCTTTCATGTGCCCTTGTGAAAAAAAGATCTTGACCTAATTATAAAGTCATCAATTTTGTGCTATGGTGTTTTTTGCATTTAAGATCACTATTCTTTTATTTTTGCTTATAACAAATAATTGGCCCACTTAAGGTGATTTACATATAACAAAACAGGAGGCAATTCTTTTGGATCTTCTCAGAGTTGTCAGTCATCATCGAGCTCGGCTAGCCACTCCCATCCGCACAGTTCAGAAAATATATGGTGAGGCTGACTCAGAAAATATACCCTTTGGGGACACCATTTTCACTCGATCCAGAGCAACAGCAAATCGTCCATTCCTACTGATAGAACCACCATATAAAGTTAATGGAGAAGATAAAGTTAAGCCTTCAACTCGTTCAACTCGAGCAAATGAGGAAAAGGATGCCAAGGTTGATGAAATTGTGGCATCTGACTCGAAAGGAGAAGAGAATTTTGCAGCTACATCAACCTCCCAACCTGGTGTAAACTCCAAGGATAAATCCAAGTCAATTTCTGAGGCCCAAATCCAGAATATTGGTTCTGATAGTTCAGTTGAGAAGACCTCCAAAACCATGCCGCCTAAAAAGGAAAGTACAGGAGATGCAGGAAAGGGAAGTACAGTTCCAGTATCTAAAAACCTTGCACAAAGTGCTGTGCCTGAAACCTCTCCTGTTACTTCCCATGAGAATATGGGTTCTGATAGTTCAGTTGAGAAGACCTCCAAAACCATGCAGCCTAAAAAGGAAAGTGCAGGAGATGCAGGAAAGGGAAGTACGGTTAATGTATCTAAAAACCTTGCACAAAGTGCTGTGCCTGAAACTTCTCCTGTTACTTCCCAAGAGTCTGGCAGGGGAGAGACCGGTTCTACTTCTTCACATTCAAAGCAAGATGAAGAGAAATCTGCTGTGTCTTCATCATCAGTTAGACCTTCCTTGGAAGAGAATATTCTTCTTGGTGTTGCCCTAGAAGGCTCAAAGCGAACTCTTCCAATTGAGGAAGAAATGACTCCATCTCCTATCCCTGTGGAGTCACAAGAATTTGCTGTACAACGGAATGGGAGTGGACCTCCTGCTAACAAGGATAAGAAGGATGGTCAGATGTCTTCATTTCCAACTGCTAACAAGGATAAGAAGGATTAGTAGCAAAATAAGCAGAGTAGAAGTTGATATTTTAGTATATGCCTTCAATTGAAAATTATGCAAAAATGATCCAGCTGTTTTTTTTAAGTTGGAATTATGCATTGTATTCTCCCTAGCTGATTATGTACATAATTGTTCTTTCATGATTTTTATAACTGTCTCATTCAGAATCTCTGAATAATAGCGTTTTTGGTTTATGGTTTGTTCCCTACTCCGAGAATGGGGCGTAAAATTGTTGTAAGTAATAAATAAAGAGAAGGACAAGCGTAATGGTGTAAAACATGCGAAAGCTTAACGATCATATACTGCGTAATTGAATAACTTTACTATCCTTTTTAATAATTTTATATAAAATTTATTTATTAAATTTAACATCCAAATAAATTTTTTTACACAATATAATTCATTCTAACATAAAATAATTTTAACATTTATTAAAATTTCTTTTTTCAAAAGTGGATGCAAATGGGCTCTTAAACAATATCTATTTCCACCAAACGATGGTAGTTCAGTTGTGGAGATGAGAGTATGTATTTGATCCTTTCCAATACCATCTTTGGAAGGAGTTTAAAATCTTAATCCTGGAGCTGCTTCGAACAGGATTGCCTTCCCATGAGATATTGTGATTTATCAAAAAAAAAAATTGTATCACACACTGTTCAAATGAGCAGGAGATGAAAACAATGATCTATATGCTATTATAGTACACTGAAAATAAGTTACACTTTTGGTCCTACTTCTACTAAATTTCAATTTTGGCCCCCTTATTTCAGTTTCAACAAAATTATCAGTTACAGATTGGTGCAACTTAAGTTCCCATATTAGTTTGATATAATAAGCACTGTTTACGTAACATAAAATGATTAGGTGACAGATTGATGCAACTTAAGTTCCCATATTAGTTTGATATACTGAGCACTGTTTACGTAACATAAAATGATTAGGTGACGCTTGTGCTGAGTATTGTGCCACTCACAAAAAAGAGTTCCGTGACAATATCCGAACTGCATGAATTCGAACACTATCAGAACAAAACCACTGCAATTTCAACTCGGGGGAGAAAAACTGGACTTTGGTGAAATTAAAGAAGCCAAAGAGCGATTAAGCTCAATATCAATTTACAACTGCCAAAACTTGTTTCCATTAAGCTCTACACATGCAATCTGGAGCAGGATATGTATAAATTGATTGCTTCTCCTTTCGTAATCTTATCTGCCCTTGTCTGTTCTTATGTCCATCAAGAACTGCATGCTGAAATTCTGACCACCCCATGCTTTTATTCAGATATAGCTTGCCCAACAGTGCCATGTTTGGTCTGATAGTCTTCAGATTCATATAAGCACGATGTCCCACCTAAAGATGCAAAAGACGTTTGGTTTAAATGGTAAATTTTGGGAATTTACTTCATTTTTTGTGCCAATACAACACAAATTATAGCTCTGCTAAGGCTATTTTATACCTATAAGTAGTTAAGTAATGTAATTCTTTATAACTACTCAGTTTCAAATAGAATATTTAACAATGATTCTTACCAGAGCATTGTGCATATTGCCGGGAGAAGCAGAAATGAAGATGTCACTGTGCATGCTCACATAATAATCAACAGCAGCTAATAGTGATGCCTTTCCTTTAACCTTGGCCAGTTCCTCTGCAGAGACTAGGCTCTTCTTATCTTCCATAAGAGGAAATAACTTGCTTAGAGTTGCTAACCGAGCTTCTCCACCATAAACCTGAAAGAATACAATCAATCCGGACTAAGTTCCAAGTTACAGCACAAAATTCCAATCCATAAAGGTGTATTAAGATTGTTAATCATTATGAATATCAGAATGAATCTTTGCTGTCACATAATCACAAATTAATCCTGTCATATGTTGTTAATGAACCTTGTGGGAAGCAAGATAAAGCCGTGTTCTATTGTTGAACCCCAAAGCTGCCAGGAGCAACCCAATCTCTTCAGGAGTCAGTGGGCAACGCCCCTGATTTCTCAACTCTACATCAGTGAATTGAGAGTTCAATACCCTTCCCTGCCAAAGCACCTGCCGGTACTTAGCTAGAGCAAGCTTCTCAGCTTTACCGCCACCAAAATCACAGGCTGAATGAGCAGCCATATCCTGCAGAGGAAATTTGGAATGACAGAAATGTGACCATTATGAAACTAAATAGGAGCCTCAGTTTTCTGAAAAATACATAACTTATCATTGATACTACAAGGTTACATAGAGAATTTAAGATGAAATGTGCAGTTCCTTACACTGCAGTTAATCTAAAAGGCCTTTACAACAGAACCAACTTTTTGGTTCCATAGAAGCATGTAATTGGTAGTCTACGGCAGAAGGATAATTCATCATTCAAATACATGTAATTATGCTTACACACACATAGAGGCAACATAAATGTGTAGTTCCTTGAAGCTGTAGTTACCCTAAAAGTTCTTTACAACAGAATCAACATATTTTTTATATCGAAGCGTGTATTAATTGGTTCCTCTACCAGAGAAGCATATAGATCATCAATTCATCATTCAAACACACATGCAAGGACAATTACACAAACCCACAGGAAAAATATTTTGGTGCTAAAGATATTTGAATGAATTCTTCTACTCCAAACAAATAAAGCAATTAGCCTACTAACTTGCAACTACATAAAAAACTACACGCAGCACAGAATATTGTAACCCCAATTCAATAACAAGACTTTCCAAATGAAGTTAGAATAACAAATGACAGAGAATTTTATAAAGCTACATGCACAAGCTTTGAATCCTAGTAAACTGCTCAAACCAAAATAAAGACTATACTTTGTCAAAACGCAGATGCAACACGACAAACTTCCCAGTTTGCTGTTTTCCAAACTTGTGAGTTTCCTCCAGCAGATAGTCATTGCCTTCTGCTTGGTTGATGGTAGGCGTGTAGCGGAGGCGATGAACAAGGGCCTTCCCTAATTCCTTGATATGTGGAACAAAGACCAGTGCTTCAAAGTTGACCTTACAACGAAGACGCTGGATTTCTGATGGCAAGTTGTTGAATGTCAAGCGATGAGAGAATGGTGCGATGGCAGCAATTCCATAACTGTATCAACGAGAAAATCTACAACATTTGAAAATAGATATTTCTGTGAATAATGTATATCTAAAGGAAGACATTGAGTGGCTTATGGCCTTGTGAATATCACAGATTGATACCTCTATAGTTTTTGTGTTATAAGAATACTTTGCACATAATTCTAGGAAGAATAAAAAAAATCAATGCAGCTTGAATCCTCATTAACATCATCTACATGACAAAAAAAGAGACACCACAAAAGAAATTTCTTCCACCCAAAGTATAATACACACACACACACACTCTTCTGATCATAGGTATATCCATGAATTACAATCAATTACTTATCCTAAAACAATTATTAGGGCCAATCAACAGTGGGCGTTTGACCACAAAAAGTATCTGCCTGCCTGGCAATTCACTGCAAGTGCTAGGTAATTATTAGAAAACAGATACAGTTGGGTGATAGGTGGCTACAAAGGCATGATCTTGTTCTGTAGTTTTTTTTATATACAACTTTTTTCTGGAAAATATTTATACTTTCAATAGAATAAACAAATGAAGCCTTTAAACCATCAGTTTTGCCACACACACACACACACACAAAAAGGCTTGATTGGTATTAGAAATCTACAATAGTATTTCCATTTGAATGTATTTCATAAGTTCACCCAGTCTCCCTATTTTTGTTTTCAATGAATGAGACAATAATTCATGGAAATGTGTTTTCATGTTCAATATTGAAGCTTATATACCATGATCAGTATCCAAAGAAACGACACCTACAAATTATAATATGGAAATCCACTCTAATTACTAGTATCAAAAGCTTCTAAGTGATGTTGACAAGGACAGAAATCAAGTAGATATGTAAGTAAAGCAATGGATATGGTGGTAAACCGAAGTACATTTGGAAAAAAAGAAGAAGGAACATAGCAGAATCTGAGGTTAAGCTATTTACATACCTCTGAAGTACAGGCAAGACATTTTCTATATACCAGTCAGCAGTAGCCTGAACTGGTGCTGTTTTAATTCTAGTAGCTCTTATGCCCGTGGCATAGAACTCCCTTGTGCTCCATGAGAAGTCACTAGGAAGCTCTTTCACTACAGAAATTTCATCACGGAGGACATCAATGAAGTGATCCACATCAAATATATCTGCAAATGAACTGTGGAAACATAACAATTTCAGATAAACAGCTACTTTTTGTTGGAAAATTAAAGAAATAAAGGTTGCAAAAAATATGCTACTCTGTATGTACCTTGAATCTTGCCAAACAGGATTCACTTCAAAATGTGGGATCACCAACGTCGCATTCAAAATCTTAGCAACAGCAACAGCATCACATATCTTTCAAAGAGAAAGAGGAGACAGATATTAGATGAGTGATCAAGTGTTGAGGCAAATAACTTGCCGCTAATGAGATACATGATAAAATACTACTCTTTTTCTTTCTTCATTTCTAAGATCAAATTACACCCTATCAACACAGTCTAATTTACATACCCCCATCTTCTGCTGGTTCAAACCTCCATCCAGGAAAATCTGGATATAACCCCGAGACTTTTCAGGTAGTGCTGCAACAAATTAAAAGGGAACATGAAAATAGCAGGCACTACTCACTGACAACACAATCCTCATTGTCAAGAGATATAAATGTTCAATGTATAAAAGAAAAATAAGAATTCAATTTACAATTTGAACTCACAAGGTGATTTTGGAGGCTCAATACACTGTTTCCATCCTTGGTAAGCCAAGGGAGACCAAAGACTATTTTGCAGTTCAACAGACTGAAAATAAATAAACAATTGGTAATCTTGAAACAACTAAAAGACAAAAAAAAAATGTCAAATTAACATGCACTCTACTCACTGTTTGGCGTTGCAAAGCACCCTCTAACAAAGCCAAGTGCCTAGGCTTCGGAGCATTCCACTCCTGCAATGGCAATTAATTGATTACAAAATTTGGGTTTTCATCAAAATAAAATCTTTCTTTATTTCTTACATGGATGCAAGCACAAACAAACGTTTTCCAGGGTCAAGTCACAATTAATTTAAAAAAAATTAAGGAAATAAAAAAAAAAGGAAAATTAGGACTTACAGAGAACATAGAAGGTGAAGCACGACCCAAAGGGTGAAAAAGATTGGGGAAAAAAGGGGGCAACAGAATCACGAAAACCACAGCAAAAGCAGATTTTTGAGAGTGGGTTAGTTGGTCGAATAGATGAAACCTCATTGTAGCAATGAGAATCATACAAAAGAGTTTGTTACACTGATGATTGAAACACTGCGTTTTGCCATGGATCAACCCAGTTGACGTTCAATGGATTCATCTTCATCTGCATTCTGCAGGTCAGGGATCCAAATCCAAAGCTACATCATTTTTCTGTGGAGCACTTTAACCAATGAGGTTTTTTTTGGTAAACAATGAAATTTAATAATAATACTCAAATTTTTATTTTTTACTTTTGAAACAAAATCTCGGACATCATAATCTTAGTCATAACTCATAATCGTAATAATAATAGTATAATACTGTTGTACATGAAACTTTTTAAAGAGTAAATATCGTTTTCTTCCTCTACAAAAAATATAGAATCCATTTTAATTTTTTTTTAAATATTCATATTAATTTTTTTGGGAGGTTATAGTTACAACTTATTTTTCTTTACAACTCATATTTTAACCATTGATTTTTGTCAATCAATGATTAAGATTTATCGTGAATTAATAAATTTAATTTCCAAAAATCTTAACCGTTGATTGACAGAAATCAACGGTTAAGATATGAGTGGTAAGAAGTTGTAAAGAAAAATAGATTGTAAACATCAACAAAGCACAGTAGATAGCTGAGTTCCTTAAACATGCTAACAGGAGTTAGATTCTTGGCCGTGTGTATGAAAAAAAGGCTTTGTTGGAAGAGGTTTACCTACTTAATGCTGAAGGATACTTGAGAAACCAAAAAAAAAAATAGATTGTAAATAAAACTTTTTCTTAATCTTTTTGAGAAACTTATATAATTTTTTTTAAAATTCTAAAGATAAAGACGAAGAATATCTCCATTAAAATTATAATGATACATACTAATATAATCCTATAATATATTAAAATTATAAAAATATTTTAATTTATATCCTAAAACAAGATCATTTTAAACTCTGTGAGATAACTTGTCTCCGTTAAAGAAATTCTTTACCCTTAATTTAATAACAAGAATCCTAAAACCTTTGAATAGTAACCGCCTTCTAAACAGTAAATGGTAAGAGAATTATTTTATTTTAATTTTGGATAAATCACGGCTATTCTCGCGGGAGGCAAATCTCTTCGGGTTGGATTCGATTAAAGTTTTAAAGAGAATTATTCGTTATTCCATTTTATGCCGTGTCGTTGCTTTTTATTTTTCTTATGAGAATTTGATTGCTAATTTGTCATCGTGCGAGAAACGATTTCGTGTTCCGACACGACTCTCTTGTAAGTCCAAAAATCAAAATGTTTGTTTCGTAACATTTGCAAAGTGGCGATTGTTTCCGACGAAAATTACTATATTTTCTTTACTCCCACATCTTTGTAATATCAGTATCAGAAATCAGCATATTACTCAGATACTTTGCATATCTTGGAATTTCAGTTTAGTCCGTGCTCTCTAATCTCTCTTTGCATGTTGAATGAAGCACTAACTATTTGGTGATTAATAGCTTCTGTTCCCATGAACTTTGCTTTGCTTTTTTTTTTTTCTTAATCTTCTTCTTCACTGCAATTTTTTTTTTTTAGTTTCATATAAATGAATGTTCCTGAGCTTAATTCAGTTGATGAGAAAATTGTTAAGGAATGATTGGAATTTTTTTGCATTTTTGTTGCTTTTTTTTTTTTTTGGTAAACACATTTTTGTTGCTTTACCTTCGAAAACAACGGGGGAAATAATTCTATTTGCAATGAAACCTTGTATTTTCTTTGGTGCTAAGGTTATTGTTGTCTCTCATGCAGGTCTAATTGTCAAAGGGTAAACTAGTTTCGATCTATTTTATGATGTTGTGCTCATCGCATGACCTTGGACTTCAGTTCAATTCAACAATGAGCTATTTGGGTTCAACACAATTGTCTCGCGACGTTAGGCTATACAATAATAATGGTAGCTGTAGTTTATGTCATGTATGTGGTTATTTGATTTGGTTTATTTTCCTAGAGCTTTCTTCTTACAGTGTAGAATTAGAATGTTGAGTTTCAATTTACTTATCTCTTGACAGAAGCCGACGCGTGGTGATCGATTATGTTTTGTTACCATCAATCTTAAGCCACATGGTTTGGTATGGCCTTCATGCCTTAATGTATAAAGATTCCATCCTTCTTGTTTGTTTCCTCTTGTGTGATGGATACATTTGTTACTTGTTAGTGTTAGAGAAAATATAATATAAAACCATTAAGTTAGTTTGCAATTTATTTGTTAAAGTTTTGTTGCCTTGTCTGTCAGTTTCATTCGTATTGCTTCATGGATACAGTAATTGTATCGGATTTATGTGTTTCTTTAATTTATAGTCTGAATCCATGGAGAACATTGTTTGTGAATTGACAGAGGCAGGATTCTTCAGCACTCCTCCTTTCCAGATTGCATGCTCCACTTAGAGCAGTACCTTCTAGATGTAATGCTTTGTTGTGCCGGTCTTCCCTAATGCCAGCTGGAGGGTGTGAGGCCCCACTTGTGAAAGTGGCTACTATTTCTTTGTCAAGGTCACTCTCTCTACTTTTCTCCTTATAGTTGAGAGAAGTTTCAACAAATTTGTTGATATGCATGTCCATGTGTTATATATATATATATATATATAGGCTTTCCTGATAATGGCTTTCCTCTGCACTGATAAATACATGTCACGTGACTAATGCTACATTTATAAACAACCATGTTTGTTACTTATGTATTTTCTGCAAATTATTTTACTTGACATGTTACTGGTTGTAAATTCGGAGAGTAATTGTGATTGAGAGGTATATCCTGCCAGCGGACTTTCTTTGATATGTTAGGTGACAATTTGACTCCTCTCCAAGCCACTACATGTGGTTAGCTATCTAGTGTCACACTACAGTTGCATGGTTACTTCCCCTCATCTTTTCTTTTTGGTATCTCTTTCATATTCTGTTGAGATTTGTGTTGGGCTTCTGAGGTACTGAGCTCCGGTTCCCCTTTTGGGGGTGCTGGTGGTGGAGTGGGTAGAAATTGGGAATCAACCAAACCTTACTTATAGATTGATTGAAATTGTGACGTATGTTGTTTGCACTAAGTCTTATCACCGTAAGTCATATCATCTGGTGCTAAAATTTGTTGTCCTTATTGTATCTCTTCTTCCTTTTTTGTGTATCTATTACTGAATGCAATCTCTATGAAGATATTTATTTTTTGAAATTGATGTAGGTCGTATAATGCTATACCAGGAAGACCAATTGTGCTTCAATTGATCCCTGCCCTTGGTATCATTGGCTTTGCTGTCTTTGGTCTTGAGCCGCTCCTGCGCCTGAGCAGGATTCTATTTCTCCAAGAAGTTAGCATCTTATATTCCATGGTTTGTCTAAATTAATTGAGTAGTATCATTATTTGACTTTCTGTTCCATGACATGTTTTCAGAGGACTGATAGAAGTTGGAAGAAAAGTAGTTCGCGATATATTATGACATCTTATTTTCAACCTTTGTTGCTGTGGTCTGGGGTAATGCTCATCTGCAGGTATCTTTTTGGATCAATAAGTCTTTTCCACTGGAAGTTTGTGAAGTCCTATTTTGATACACCTAAGCATATACTGTTTCAGGGATTTTGATCCATTAGTCCTTCCATCACAAACCAGTCAGATTATGAAGCAACGGCTGCTGAATTTTGTTAGATCTTTGTCAACAGTGCTTACATTTGCTCACTGTTTTTCAAGGTAGATTTGATTTCTGGCAGAATTATGCCCCACTGTTGTTGGTAAACTAGCAAGTTACTATTATATTGCATCTTAATTGTAAGATAAGCTTCTGTTTTCTTATTATTAGAACTAGTAGTAAAGCACATATGCGTAACTAGTAGTAAAGCATAAATCTTTTTTCTAAAAAAAAAAAGGTGAAGAAACAATGAGGAGTTTGCTTATCTAAGATAATTCTATTATATTTTATTCTAATTATTCAATTATACCTTTTATTTGATAGTTTTTGTTTATTTATTTAACTAATATGCTGATAAAATAAAGTATTGAGTCCTGTTTCTTGTAGTCTTTTTTTTTTTTTTAAATAATATTATTTCAGTTGCTCATTTCTGTGTGTGGAGTCCTGTGTTTTGTTTAAATTATAATCTATTATGTTTGTACTTCCTACTTTCAGCTTAATTCGACAAGTACAGAAGTTCTGTATGGAGACAAATGACTCCAGTGATGAAAGAAATGTATGTTTCTGTTACAGATCCTTGCCATATTTCCCTTTCTCTGCATATAACATTTTGCAGCAATAATGGGTTAATTTTGTTCAGCAGACTCCCAATTAGTTTGGGATAAAGGTGATGTTGAATGGGTTAATTTTGTTGTGAGACCACTTAAAAGAAGCTTTAGTTGAGTTGTGTTATTCCAAATGAAGATTAGAGAAGTAGTCAACCACTAGGAAATAAAATATTTGATTGTGTGAGTATCATTTTAACAACTTTGAGTATGCAGGTTGAATGAGGTAGTGTTATAGGATAATTTTCCTCATTTTCACGTTGGATATTTTGGTGAGGGAGTTTCAAATTGTTAATCTAGTTTATTGACTCCTAAGGACATTCTTGAAGTGTGAAAGCAAACCTCATTCAATGAAAAATTGTACTGTGATGACAGATGAGCTTTGATTTTACTGGGAAAGCTGTATATACTGCAATTTGGGTTGCTGCTGTGTCATTGTTCATGGAGTTGCTGGGTTTCTCCGCACAGAAGTGGTTGACTGCTGGTGGTTTGGGCACAGTATTGCTTTCCCTTGCTGGTCGTGAGGTACAGTATAGGCTCTTTCGTACTGTCAACGAGAATGATTAAGTTGTCTTTGTCATTGCATATTTTATGGATCATCCTTTATAACCAATTTCAACAAATTTTGTAAGAGTAACTCTTCTAGGCATAGCCATTATCAATCAGGTAGACTCTTATTTGCTGCCTTTCTCACTTCATTTTTGTGATGCGTTCAGATATTTACAAACTTCCTATCAAGTGTAATGATTCATGCAACTCGACCATTTGTTGTGAATGAGCGGATTAAAACAAAGATTAAAGGATATGAGGTTTCTGGTAAAGTTGAGGTTTGTATCTATTATCTGACTTGCTGAAAAGGTTGTTTTGGAGAGCAGAAAACATAATGTTAGTCCAATGTCAGTTGTTTCCATTATAGGGGATATTTTTCTTAAGTA